CCATGGCCATAATTTATTGCAATCAGCTGTGGAGTCCTATACAAATCAATTCATGCGTCACCTCTGAGGTCTGACCATCATCAATAAGTAGTTTTGGTTAGGTCTCTGCCGTGATCTTAGAGTTATTCCGAGTTCTCCAGTTTTCTGACCTGTGAGTTAGCCATGGCCTAATTGCTAGTTTTTTTCAAATTATCAACAAAATTCTTTTCTACGATTTTGAAGGTGCACATGTCAGGAAACTAGTACCCATAGTGAGCTTGATAACAAAGATGGGTTGATTTGACATTAAAGTGCCTTGTACCACAATGAAGCAAAATGATTTCATCAATATTTCAAATTAGTGCTACATGTATATGTGTTGTACAAAGTAATGTTTTTACTCTATTACTTTGGCTTATCTGTAACATTTCACATGTGCCTCTTGAATGTTGTTCACTGAAGTGGAGCCTCCTAGAAAATACAAAACCAAAGAATTAAGTACCTTGTAATGACATTCTTTTGGGATACAAGCTACCCGTTGATTAACAAGAGGGGGAACAAAGGTGACATAGCAGTAGTACACTCACCTCTGATGGTCAAGGGTTGGATTCCTGGACTAAGCATGACATGTGAGTAGAGTGATGATTGACTAATTGCTTTGAGGGTTTTTTTCTCAAGGCGTTCTTTACAGTTTGTAAAACGTTTCACGACTGGTTTACAATATATTTTTTAGTGGCTAAAAAAGTGGTTTTCCTATTTTCATCATTCAGTTGGAATTTAGAAGTTAATTTAAAAATTAATATTACAGGGCTTTAAAAAATGGCCAATCAGTTGCCAGCGACAAAACACTGGCCAAATTAGGTTTAGCTTGTTCATATGACCAACAAGGCCATATAAGTCAGTTGCCATAGCAGCAGCCTTGGTTCCAGGTTACCACTGCCTAAAATTCTAGTTTTTATGTTTCTGCCTTTAAGAGAAATGGCATCTAATAAGGCTGGGTTAAAATATCTGTTTTGGTCATAAAAACGAATTTAATCAAACAATTTTCTGCTAGGTAGAAAAAATATGCAGTCAAAGCCTGCATGTGGCTACTGCCATTTTCAACATCATGAAGATTTCATGACTGGTGAAGTCATATGTCACATGATTGAAAGATGTGTCAGCAGTGTTCAGCAAAGTATGTCTGTCCAAGTTTGACTCACATTGATCACATATTTATAGAGCACTTACAGTTTTTTATGTGGTCACATGACTGGTGAATTCATTTCACATGATTGTCAATGTGTGTAAGCAATGTTCGGCAATGTTTGTCTATCCAAAATTGACAGACTGTGGTTAAGCATTTGCAGAGTTATCACAATGTATATGTAGTCACGTGATTGGTGACRTCATATGTCACATGATTGGCACCCATTTGTAAGCAATGTCCGGCAATGTTTGTCTGTCCAAGTTCGACTGACAGTGGTCAAATATTTGAAGAGTTATTACAGTTTTTATGTAGTAACGTGATTGATGACATCATAGTCACATGATTGCCACCCACTTGTAAGCAATATCTGGCAATGTATGTCTGTCCAAGCTTGACTGACAGTGGTCAAATATTTGTAGAGTTAGTACAGTTTTAATGTAGTCATGTCATTGATGACATCATAGTCACATGACATCATAGTCACCCGTGTGTAAGCAATGTCCGGCAATGTATGTCTGTCCAAGTTTGACTGACAGTGGTCAAATATTTGTAGAGTTAGTACAGTTTTGATGTAGCCACATGATTGAGACATCATGTGTCACATGATTGGCACCTGTGTAAGCAATGTCTGGCAATGTATGTCTGTCCAAGTTTGACTGACAGTGGTCAAAYATTTGTAGTTATTACAGTTTTTATGTAGCCACGTGATTGATGACATCATATGTCACATGATTGGCACCTGTGTGTAACAGTGTCCAGCAATGTATATCCGTACAAGTTTGACTGACAGTGGTCAAAGATTTGTAGAGTTATTGCAGTTTTTATGTAGTCTCGTCACAACAACGATCTAATTGGCTCCGAACAATATCCGAAAGCATATTGGACAAAAATCGGTATTTGATTTGGGTTTCCTTTGGTATTTCACTCATGCACTCAACACGACATGGCTACGCTTCTATCGAAAACAGTAGTCACAAAAATAACAAAGCAATGGCTGAAAGGGGCCTGGACACCAGTGTGTTGTCATAGCAACCACAGTTTGTACATGCTCCATACTTTGAATACGATTATAATTCAATGTTTGAACAACATTCATCAAATACTCTCAGATACATACTGATGAAAATATGGCATCATTAATCTCCTAATTAGCATTAACTTGAAGCTTGAATATCTTAAGAACCGAAAATGCTAACGAGAAATGAAATGCCAGTTTTCTTCTTTTGTAAAAAGCATGTGTATAAATAGTAAAACTTGGAGATATTTTATCGTAGTGTCACTTGAAGCCCCACAATATATTATTTGGAAGAATAGGTTGATCTGGCACACAATTCAATCAAACCCTGTTTTTTTCCTCTGGGTTCTCCAATATTTATCATTCCTTGAGACTCTAACAATCTAAATTTCAATTCTATGTTTTAATTAGCTGCACAATGACTCTGATCAGGTGTGAGTTTGTTTCTGGATATGGATAACAGGTCTGAACAGAGACTTTTTCAAGGAAATGATGGCACAATATGAATATTTGGTAAGAATTCTTTAAGATAGCATATTAATTCATTTCCCTAAAAAGCTGTATGCATTATGCTATTAACAAGAACAAACTAGGCCAACAATTTATAGAATRAAGCTTATCTAAATGATAATATAGATTTCTTAAAATAAGGTGACTGTACTTTAAGTTTGTTCAGGAGAAAGTGTCAAAATAACATGGTATTGTATTGGTAGAAAATATATTCACATATTGGGCTCTGTCACTGCAAATTCACCAAAAGTGTAGTACCAGAAATAATCCATACCCTCCCCCCACTATGTGGCAATGTTTTTAAAAGACCCCCCTAGCCCTGAAAATTCTATTATTTTGTCATACAAACTGTATTGTTCTTGCTGTAACCCCCCACCTCTTGGACGTTTTGTGTGTGTGTGTGGGTATGTGTGTGTTGGTGGGTGGGGGGGAGGGAGGGGATGGAGATGGATAATTTCTGGAACTATATAATATGCAATATATTTTCTCCCACCAGTGATCAAAATTTTGTCATCTCAAAATCTAAATTAGTTTACATTGCATTGAAATTTTTAGAGCTAAAATACGTTTAAAATATAGCATCAAGTGATGAGAATCGTTTTCCGCTTGCAAAATAATATAAAAGTCGAAGCAATTGATTAGGCGAGTAGTTCTTTAACACAACTAGTAGTTTATCCCTTTGAATAGMTGAATTGAATCAAAGCATGAACAGTAAACCAAAATAATCTATCGCCATGAAGTTCGAAGACTCTTAAAATTCCTCCCTTAGAAGTCATTAACATCTTACTTAAAAATTCTTGTTTACGATTACCATGGTTAATAAATATTTATAGTTCTGCTGTCTTTAATTCAGGGCATCTGACGTAATGCGGCGATGCGATTTCGCACAATTGACCTAAAAAAAATCGCATAATTTGTAAAAAAAACCGCACATTTTCAACTACAATTAAACGATATATCACCAAGACTTTTTAAAATATATGAAAACAAACCATTCTTAAGTAAAACTAGCAAAGACCATCGAAAACTCCACAAAAACAAGCGTGACTCGCACGATTTCTTYGTTCATCCGCAAGGCGTCACTTGCACAGCAGAGAAAAGGGACTGGCACTAGTTTTGCTCTAATACCACTCGCTATTGGCTGATTTGATCCAATCAGTATTGCTGTTATATAATTTATAATAACAGGTGCTTTTTATGCCTTTTTTTGCTATAATACTAGTGAAGTAAAATCGAAAAAAGAA